AAAAAAAAAAAAGAATAATAAACAGGATGAATAATTGAAAATTTGAAAGAAATGTTTTTTTTTCTTTATGAGCTAATAGTTAAACACATTAGAAATAGAAACAGTAGTTAGCATATTGTTTTATTTTAATTTCCATGTTAGTGAGAACTGAATGGAATGACCTTTCAAAAAATATGCATAATTAAAAATAATCGATACCACAGGTAAGAATAGGGAGAGAAGAAATGTCACTATTGCAATCCTGAGTAAATGGGGCTTAGGGCAGAATTGGGACTGTTCTCTACCATCCACCATGAATTTGACAGGCAGAGTACTATCCTGGGGTTCCTGGGCTGTGCTATATTGGAAACACCATAGGACACTTGGTTGTTGGTGGGAAGAGATACTGCGGACCCTGAAAGTTGAGAGTTAAGTGTTCAGGAAACAATGAATAAGATGGAATAAATGGGATCCCAAACCATTTGTACTCCATTTTCATGCAACTTCTGGGGTGAATCACAGGCTTCCTCATTGTTTCTAAGTCCTAGGCACAGTAACAATAAAGTGCAAAACCATTGCATTTCTGTTCTAGAGGCATATCACAATCTAATTATGAGAAAAATCAGGCAAATTCCAAATTGAAATATCTACAAAACAACTTCCATATTCCCTTTAGAAATGCTAACATCACAAACAACAAAGGAAGGCTGGAAAACTGTTCAAGATTAAAGGAGTCTAGAGAGAAAAGACAAATGCAGTGTATAATGCTAGACTGTATTCTGAATCAGAAAAAGAAATTTACTGTAAAGAACATTATTGATCAACATGAAGAAATTGGATAAGGACTGTATATTGTATACTAGAATACATAAGGACTGTATACAGTATGTTAAAAGTACTGATTATGATAGATGTGTTGTGATTATGCAAGAGAATGACCTTGACCTTAGGAGATGCAAGTGGAAGAATTTAGGTGTAAAGGGTCATGATGTCTGCAATTTATACTCACATGGTTCAGAGAGTACGTAAAGTAGCCAAATGGAACAAAATGACAAGAATGGATGAATCTAGGTAAAGGGATAGGCATTCATTCTACTATTTCTTTTTTTTACAACTTTTCTGTAAGTTTGTAATTTTTTCAAAAGATTGAGTTTAAAAAAAAGACATGACATCCAATGGCTAACCATAGACTTTGAACCTTTTTCAACTCTAAAATAAAAATAATCTGCTACCTCTACTTCACAGGGAAATTACAATGATCAATAAGATAATGGGGTTTGCAGAGTATGATTTACTTTTTCTAAGGTTTGGACAAATATTTTATAGGAAAGAAAAGAGTGATTTTTCAACCCAGCATCACGTATCACAAGATGTTTAGTTAGATTATAGATAATTAAAACCTTAGCTTGTGTTTACCAATTGTAATACAGCTATGCCTCAATTAAAGAATTCCTTAGGAATGAAGCATTTCTCTGTAACAGGAAATTTTAAACCAAAATTGAACACAATAAAAACAAGCAAAGAAACATCTACATAATCATGTGACTATAGGTAGTCAATGACTGCAACTCTCTGATCATGGTGCTGTCACCCTTGAGAATTTCAAAGTGAACGGAGCTCATCATAGCAGGATTCTGAAGTCTGGGAAGGCCCAATTTAGTGTAAAGAACAACTTTTAAGTCTCTTCTGGGCACTAGTTATTCTACTATGTGCTGGGAGTACAAGGATTTCTTTACTCTTCTACCTCAGTGCCACTTCACATACCCAAAGTCCTCCTGTTTTTTTGACTTTGTATTTCCATTAAAAAAGCAACATTTTGGTGGGTTATATATTTACACATTTTTTTCATACTTGGCTGAAAGTTATTCAGACAGAGTTTCCTCAACTAGTTTTGTTTTGCTTTTTCTGTGAAGGTTTTATTCTGCACAGAGGAAACAGGGAGCTCATTTCCCCTTGGCAGCTACTTTCCTCATGGCAGCCAGGACATTGCTCAGCTCCTGTAGCCTCCTCTTGGTGAGAACGTGTGTCCCCATGCTCTTCTTGATGAGCTTTTTCTTGAAGACCTTGAGCAGCTCCATGTCATGGAGCTTGTATAGGGGCAAAGCCACACACCCCCTCGGATCAAGTCCCGCACGAACTTTGTATATTTGGTGAGGTGCCCACAGTGGTGGCTGTCCCTAGGCTTGCTCAGGGTCTTGGTCACCTGTAGTCCTTATTGAGGCCCATGGCCATGGGGTAGCAAGAACCATGTTTGCTGCTCTTCAATGACTGCTGCGGAGGAAGCTCAACCAATTTTATTATGACCTAGAATAAATATGAGAATCACTTTCATCATTCTTGCAATAAAAGGCGAATATAACTGAAAAACTTCTTGGAACAATAATTTAGATTTCCTGATCTTCATCATCAGCTGGGTCACTCTTCCTCCATAACTAAACTTCTCAAACAGAAGTGCCAAAAATTACTAGTACTTTAATGCATATCAAATTCAATGACATCCCCTTAATCTATATCCTTTTTTTTTTTACTTTGTGAAGTGATTGATACAGCCAGCCACTCTAATCCTTTATACTGGAACTTTTCTCTTTCAGACCTCTAGGAAAGTCTGTGTTATCTCTAACCTCTGATCTCATCTAACCTCTTATCTCCTTTGATCCTATTTCTCTAGTAGTGTGCTATAGGTTCTTATCTTGGCACTCTTCTATTTTTTTTTCTTTTGGTATCACACCCAATTAAGTCATCTCAAGATGACTTCAGAGAAATCTCTGTCTCCAGACTCATCTTTCCTCTTAAACACCATGTAGACAATTGCAATTGCCTGCTTCATATTACTATCTATATAAAGTCTCTGTATATCAGAGGTTACATAGGATGCCAGAACCTCCATCTCTCCATGCCCCAAACCAAACTACCTGCATATCATTTCTTCCTCATCTCCTTGAAATGAACCAGTCCAGAAAGGAAAATATAAAAGGAGAGGCATTATGGCATGGGTGAGAAAGGGAGCTTCCTGTGACAAGAATAGTGGGCACTGTTCTACAGTAAGGAGAGAAACTGGGTACTCCTTACAGAGACTAAACTACAGAAACTTAGCTATGAACAGAGTGATTTGCAATTGAAGAAAGCAGAGATGCAGGATGGAAGAAGCAGGAAAAGAGAGAGAGAGACAGAGAGAGAGTGAGAGAGCCATCGCAAGTCAGCACTGGAGAGAGCACGCCAGGCAGGGGTTTGAGCGTGACAATAAAACATGGCACCGTATGCCCTTTTATTTATTCTTCATTAGAATAGAAAGCTCTTCACCTGAATGGAATGCCATTTGAAAAACCATTTTTAACTTTTTGTGATTAATTTATCTCCCGAGAACATTTGGGGAAATATATACTTATAATAAAATCTCACTCGCACTATCACATAACAGTATGCATTAATGTTTAAAAATTAGTCAAAGCCTCCCACAGCAGAAAGAACTAAGTTAAAATTAAAGTTTAAATAATACCTTTTAACTTGAAAGATACCCCCATACTATTACATAATGCAGGAATAGTGAGGAAAGTAACTAAAAACTAATTCACTAACTTTGTGAAATCAAATATTCTATGCTGTAGGTAATCTTAATATTGCTCAGTCACTGTAAATCGGATTATTCTTGAGATTGTATTTAAGTCAAGGCAAGATGGTCTTCTATTTACAAATGTAATTTAGTCTCATGAGTGGGTAGTCTTGTTAAATATAGTCAGGTTAATTGAAATTGATTTGTGTTTAGTAAACATAGTGAATACTAAATCAAATATCAGACACAAAAGTGTTGCGGGCACATTTAAAACCTTTGACAGGCACCGTTAGTCCTGCATGGAAGGATTTGTCATCTCGGAGGTCAACATTCCTTTTTAGCCTTTTCTTCAAAATATATTAAGAGCAAATGAGGAGAAATGGCCTGCATTTCCTTTATAGAATTTTGTCATTTGGGAATATTTGGTAGAATTTGGGATAGGATTGGGTGAGGGATTATTTATGTTTTATTTCCATTGCTACACACAGCACATTTGCTTTTCCATCTGCTTAATTCCATTCCAGGTTTGCTATTCTCTACCACTCATAGCATCATTGAGCTCCACATAATAGCTTTTATAGGAGACAAACATTACCAAGCAATTTGAAAAGCAGGTTGAAGATAAAGTCTTACAGCTCACGTGCCCTGGCCTGGTGACTTGGCTCACTTCTGAAGCTTACGCCCAATGTGGTGGATATGCATAAGCTCTATGAGGCTTAAAGAAACATTTCTGCTAATACAAAAATAAACCCACCATAATCATTCGTTTTGTGGAATTTTACAGTTGTTGGTTAACCTGCTCCCTTATGCCCTGCAATATTCATTAGCAGATTTCTCTGTTTATGAGTGATATTATATGGAAATGGTTATGGGAAGCTAACAGATGCAATCACTGAAATAAATTAGAAGGAAAAGTTCTGTTTTTTACAGATGGCTCCATTAAATATGCTTTTTCCCTCCTCCATTTTAACATTTAGTTTTCTTTCAACAGAAAACTTTTCTTTACTGACTACGGGAATGTCGCCAAAGTGGAGAGATGTGACATGGATGGCATGAACAGAACAAGGATAATTGATTCAAAGACAGAGCAGCCAGCTGCACTGGCACTAGACCTAGTCAACAAATTGGTTTACTGGATAGATCTTTACTTGGATTATGTGGGAGTAGTGGACTATCAAGGAAAAAATAGGCATACTATCATTCAAGGCAGACAAGTAAGTACAATTTTGTTAAAAAATGCAGCAAAACTAATAAAATGCATACTATAAAGGAGACTAACATTTGCAATGGTGAAAATTTCTTATGAAGTTAAGCTTCAATGGGTCATAAAAATTATGGTTTATTTCCTGTATGGGAGAATGTTCTTTTCATAGTGATGCTGTGATACTTCCGTGATATTGGAGTTGACTCTTTCTTCCTTTCCCCTCTATTGAAAACAAAGAAAACAAAGAAACAAAAACAGCAAACAAAGATAAAAATGCTGTACTAGCAAGAAAGAAAAGTATTAGAATAGGACAGATGTTATGACCTACTTACTAAAAATTAATTTAAGTAGTTCATTCATAAGGAGCTGAACTATCATCTGTCCCATGTAGCACTGGAGATATTTGCTAACAAAAGCAAATGTCTACTTACAAAATTATCTGTATTATTTTAATAGGTTGGATTAAATTTTGACTTCTAATGTATTCCAGTACTTCCTAAAATGAAAATTCTGTGAAAGTCACCTCATTCAAAATTCTTTCCACTTGTGTTAGTTTTTCCTGTGCTGAATTACAAGGTTTTGTAAGCAATCTGTGAACAGTTAAAAAAGAGATCTCTAAGTAATAATAAGCCTTATTCACTTGTGTGTTTTTTCACATTCAGTTGTATGTCACTGATTACACAAATTTCATGTGAGATTTTTAGTCTATGGAGATGAAATTTGTAATCTCTCTGTTTTCTTTTGCAATGCACAACAGGTATATTTTGTAATTATCCCTTAAAGTTGCTTTTCATTTCTGATCATCTTTTAAAATAAAATTATTTTCCCTTTCTTGACAGATAAACAAATACACTAATCTGGGTGTTTAAAAAAAATAATTCTTCCTGGGCTGGCCCGGTGGTGCACTGGAGAGTGCGCCACTTGGGAGCGCAGCGGCGCTCCCGCCGAGGGTTCGGATCCCATGTGGAGACCGGTTCCCGCTCACTGGCTGAGCGCGGTGTGGGCGCGACACTGAGGGTTGCAATCCCGTTACCGGTCAGTAAAAAGAGACAAAAAGGAAAAAAAAAATAATAATAATAATTCTTCCAGTGTTAAAAGTGGGGCCAGTTATATCTCGCTTACCTTCAACTGTCTTAAAAAGCTTGATTTCTTTGGCAAGCCTTAGGTATGACCTTTAGAGGAACTACTGTCTAAGATGATTATGATAGACCTTGTTTTTACTTATTTGCATTTAAAAAATTAAACCCTGAAGACACTGAGGGTTGCGATCCCGTTACCGGTCAGTAAAAAGAGACAAAAAGGAAAAAAATAATAATAATAATAATTCTTCCAGTGTTAAAAGTGGGGCCAGTTATATCTCGCTTACCTTCAACTGTCTTAAAAAGCTTGATTTCTTTGGCAGGCCTTAGGTATGACCTTTAGAGGAACTACTCTCTAAGATGATTATGATAGACCTTGTTTTTACTTATTTGCATTTAAAAAATTAAACCCTGAAACAAGGGTAAGTAATTCAGATGATTTTTTTCTGTGACTACTTTAGAAAGTTTTTTAGTGTTTAAAGTTTTTAATTATATATCTTTTGTTTCAATTCTATTGCCTGTGTTTTGCTGGTTCCCTAAACATATGCTAAGTCTGCCACTAAGTGATCAAATATAGATTCATTTTTTGAAGTATTTGGGCTGTAAGCAGAATGGTTTACCTACTACTCCAAGTTCTCCCACCTCTGCTGGCAGTAGTTAAAAAATCAGGCATCAATGAGCTTATTTTATGGGAAACAGACCCTTCTGAAGGAAGGCAGGGAGGTGGAGAATGAAATTTTATCTTTATTGTATGAATATATTTTCTGCAGTAACCAATTGCCTCCTGTGTAGCTGTGGTTTTTATCCTGGGGTGTGAGTTGGCAGTTATGTAAAGAACAACGTGGGTAGGCCATAACCACTGACTCTGAGGTAAACGGCCCCAAACTTTGAGCAAAGCATGCATGTGATTAATGGTCAGGGAACAGTTCACCTTGCTTGTAATTTGTATAGGAAAAAAGTATTACCCAAGTCAAGATTAGGCTATAGGTATATTTAGTGAATATGATGCCGCTATGTGGAAAATATTAATAAACACACATATGTCCACACCCACGCACAGAGACTTATTGCAGAGTAACTCATGCATAGAAAAAGATTACTTGGGCTTTAACATGGAATAATTCTCTCCCATTAGTTCCTACCTTTTATTTCTAGCCTAAACATGAAGAAATGAGTTATACCAAAAACATGTAAAAGCCAGTCTTCTTTTAGTTGAATCTTGTCCAAGAGGACCCAGGAATAGAAATAATGAGTCATATATGCTAGACAGATAACAATGAATAATTTTGCTTAAACTACAGAATTTGTAAGACTTTCTGATTAAAATTAAAGATTTTATAATTTTGTTTGATAAGAATTTTTACATTCAAAGCACACATACTTTCTCAAATTCTAACTATAAATCTATATATATTCAAAGTGCACAATATAATGCCAAAGAATAGTGACAAATGCTTTTTCATCAAAATCTCTACAGCAAATCAATCAAAAACTTCATCAGACTCTGGACCAGAACCATTTTAAATTAAGTAAAGAAATACCCAAAGTCAATGTGCCTAGCACGTGCCTTTGTATCAAGAAAATCGGTATCCTCTTTCTTCCTTCTGCTCTACTGGAAGCTTT